GGTCGTCTGGGGGGAGTGCCTTCTGGAGCTAGTCCTGTCCAAGTGCCTCTTCCTCCTCCTCTTCCTCCTCCTCCTCCTCCTCCTCCTCCTCCTCCTCCTCCTCCTCCTCCTCCTCCTCCTCCTCCTCTCGTCTCCCTGCCTTACTGTCTCGATTCATGCACTCGCAGCTGGCCCTCGATACTTTCCCGGTGCTCAGGTGATAGCACATGTCAGGATCTTTCGAAGGGCAGAGCGTGCCAGAGGGGGTCAACGTCGTCGTCGTCGTCGTCGTCGTCGTCGTCGTCGTCGTCGTCGTCGTCGTCGTCGTCGTCGTCGTCGTCGTCGTCGTCTGTCATCGCTGGCGTCGCCGCTGCCGCCGCCGCTGCCGCCGCCGCCGCCCTCATCGCCTCACGAAGCCCATGCCCACACTGCGCAATTTCATTCTAAGGGGCAGCCACTGGGCGGCGGGCGGTCACCTGCCGTCTGTCGGGCGGCCTTCGCTGCCCGGGAGGGGTTTCGGCGGAGGGCCGTGACGCTGTGCGATGAGGTGGAGACGTCCGCGCGTCACCCGCAAGCACTCGGCCACTGCGAGCGGGCAGCTGTCTGGGTGCTGCCGCCAGCTGCGCGCCTCGTCAGCCCCCCGCGCCATGTGTCAGCGCGCTGTGCCCCCTACTGTTGCTCCCGCTCTCCCTGTTGTCTGGCCTCGCCCCCCCATAGCCGTGCGCGCTGCCGTCGCACCCCGCGGGTGCGGACCAGGCAGGGGGTCTGTACGCTCGCCGCGTCGGGGCATTGGCCCACCATGCAGGAGAGGGCACGGGGCTCTGCCATTCGCTGCTTCTGCTTGCCTTCTCCCCACGATGCCTCTCGTGTGATGCTGGCCAGGCCCCGGGGCGACGCATGGATGCCCCTGACGCGAGCGGGGCCCATGGGCGGCCTGGGCTAGCGAGCACTCGCACTCCTTGGGGGGCCAACGATGGGGAGTGAAAGACCTCTACCAAACCGGGGCCACTCAGCGGCTCTCTCTACCGCCCGCAGCGCCCAGGTGAGGGCTGAGTGAGCCGCCGCAGGGGCTGATGGCACGGCGCGACGCGCCCGCGGGCGCGGGCGTGGGCGCCCGACCGGACGTCGCCGCAAGCGGTATGAAATGAAATGAAATGAAATGAAATGAAATGAATGGATATCCTTCGGGCCGTTTCACGGTGGGTGATCCGTGGGTGATCCCTGCCATGTGATGAATAGTCGACTGTTGTTCTTGCTGCCAGCGTCGTCGGCTGTCGTCTGCGGTCGCCGGACGCCCGCTAGTAGTTTTTGGCTCAGGAAATATAGTTGCCGTTGTTTGCCATGGCAGTGCTTGGCGGAACGCCGCTGAGGAGGACAGCGCCAGCGAAGAATCCTTCTCCAATCGAATCGACCCGGGGCAATGCTTCGAAGAGGCGCCGGTTGGATGAAGGTTCGGATGACAATGAAGACGGCACGGCTGAGAAGGCGGATGCTAAATATCGCATGACCTCTTGTGCGGATGGCAAGCGTTTGTTGTGCCTATGCTGTGATCAAATCTTTTTGAGCGTCGAGGAAGGTTCGAAAAATGCCCATAGCATCATCAGCCCGGCAGCTTGCAATAACCTCAAGTTGCGTTGGGGACACAGGGGATTGAAACTTTGTCCAACTTGTGCTACCAGCGCTGAGGCAGCGCAGCGCTGTTTTGACGACTTCCCGCATGATGAGTTCGAGAGTGTTGTGGACGCCATGACACATCGGGGTTCTGGTACCGGCGAAGCCTATGACGGGGCCCATTTCATTTCGGTGCATGGGGCCGCAGAACATGCCGTACTCTTTTCAAGCTGGATAAGACGTCCCAACGCATTAGATCCGAATGTGCAACTCTCTTTGATGATGCGGCGATTTGCAATGTTATTAAGCGCCATTTCGCGCAAACCAAACTTTCGACAAAGAGCTCGGCTGCGAGCGTTGAGGCAACTACGCAGGTGGATGCTGCTGTTGCAGAGTTCAATTCGATTTCTTCACAAAGGCGACAGGGATTGGCCCGTTTGAGGCGCAGTTCTGCTTAGCGTTTGCAGCAGAGCTTTGCGTGCACGCTACGGCAAGGCATGCTGCAGCGTCAAAGCTAGAACGTACTTGGGTTGCTGGCTGGGGCACTGGCGTAGCGCTAGATCGCGTTCTTCGAAAGGCCGGCGCGGCGACACAGAAACTCAGGGACATGCTGCCTGGACAGCAAGCAGACGCAAGCGTCGAGCGCTCGAAAGTTTGCGCGCGGTCTTGTGCTCGATGTTATACCACTCCAACTTTGGTATGAAGCTGAGGGCAAAATTCAGGTTGTTGATGAGCCAGCGCGGTTTCTTCGGAGTGCCCTTGTTATTGTTATTCGATCTAGAGTTCTTGCTATGTGAGATCCGGAAGTGCTGCGTCGTCCACACAAAGAGTTATCGTAGCAGCGCCGAACTGAAGGCATACCGCCAGCGGCACCTAGGCAAGATTTTGAAGCCATGCTGGTGGCTCTGTGCACTTGTCTGGTGTGCGGCAGACCATAGTTGCCCTGGTGACCGAGGAGAACCCGTCCCTCTCCTCGTCTCTCTCTCTCTCCCTCCCTGCCCCCTCGTCCCACCGTTGCGAGAGCTGTCACCATTGTAGATTGCTTCTTGGACTGGCGTCGTGGGGCCAAGTTGGCTGTCGCTTCTTGTCCTGCGCCTCCCCTTCGCTTCGCGTTTCCGCCGTCCCCTGGGCGTCGGTGCCGTGCTGGGCTGTTGCCGTGCCGTGCCGTGCCGTCGTTGCGCCCCTGCCGTCGCCGCTGGGTGCCGCGCCGTGCCATGTCGCGCCGCGCCGTCGGGCCTCTTGGCCTTTGGCGGACGAGGCTGCTGGATATGATATTTATTTCATATCCTGGTGTGTCTCGTCCTGAACCGGGAGGGGGCGTGGCTGTCGTCGACGTCGTCGTCGTCGTCGTCGTCGTCGTCGTCGTCGTCGTCTTCGTCGTCGCTTCCCGCTTTCATTATTTGTTGCCATGTACCCTTCTTGTGTCCGTTGCAGCTGGGTGATTCGTTCGTGTTTGATTTTGATGCAGGCTGTCGCCTCTTGTCATGTGCCTTACCTTCGCTTCGCGTTTCCGCCGTCCCCTGGGCGTCGGTGCCGAGCTGGGCTGTTGCCGTGCCGTGCCGTGTCGTGGGTGCTGCGCTGTGTCGTGGGTGCCGTCGTTGCGGCCTGCCGTCTTGCGCCCCTGCCGTCGCCGCGTGGTGCCGTGCCGTGCCATGTCGCGCCGCGCCGTCGGGCCTCTCGGCCTTTGGCAGACGCGGCTGCTGGATATGAGATTTTTCTCACATCCTGGCGGGCCCGCCCGCGTAGGGGGGCCCAGCTAGTTCGGTCTCCATTGATAGCCAGGGTGCGCCCTTGTATGCCGCCGGCCGTCTGCCGGGCAGACCACTGCTGTCATTTTCATGCCATTCGCAGCGGCGGGGCCCGGAGCGCACCCCCATGTCGCCGGCCGTCTGTCGGGCAGCCTTCGGCCGTGGGTCTTGCTTATTAGCCATCTTGCGCGCCGGCCGCACGCGCCCGCGCTTTGGCTCGAAGGCCCACCGCTCGGACCGAGGGCCCCCCTTGCCCGCTCAGGGAACCAGTGCCGCGGCCACGCCGTCCTCGGAGCGAGTCCGCCACCGGCGCCGCGACCGCGGTGGCGACCGGAGCAGAGACCGCGACCGGGACACGGGCCAGGGCAGGGACCGCGACCGCGATCGCGATCGCAGTCGTCGCGATCGGGGCCGTGACCAGGGTCGGGACCGTGACCATGACCGCGACCGCGAATGCAGCCCGACGCCCGTGGCAGACAGATGCAGACAGCCACCATTCGCCATGCGGCTCGGAGGGCGACCTCAGTGCTGCGCTCAGCGCCCTGATCCCGTCGCAGCCCGCCACTCCGTGCCCATTCCCGGCCGGGCCGCCCCCCGGTGACTGGGGCATCTTCCCGGGGGCGGCGGCGAAGGGCTGCGCGTTTCTGCCCCCGGCTCAGGCGGGGCCCCCCGAGCTGAGCTCGCCGCGCAGCCCGCCGACGGGGTGGATCGGCGCTGGGCCAGGAGTCCCCGCCGGCCCCGCCGCCGCCGCCTCCGCCGCCGAAAGCGAGCGCGGCCGACGCCACCTACGCAGGGGTGGCGGCGCCAGCCACGCCGAAGGCCGCGGCGGCCTCGCTCCCAGCTAGCCCGCTGCCCGCGTCGCCGGGCCCGCCGCTTCTGAGCCCCCCGCCCCTTCCGCCGGGGTGGGAGTCCCGGCGTGACGCGGGCAGCGGCGCGTTGTATTTTCAGCATCGCAGCTCAGGTCGCACTCAGTGGGATCATCCGGGCACGGCGCTCGTGCCCACGGCAGCCCCGTTATCCGTGGCCGGCGCCCCCGCGGCTGTAGGGGGCGCCTCAGGTGGGCGCGCGGCAGCCGTGGCGGGCGCCGCAGGTGGGCCGACCGCGCCCCGCCCGGCGCCGCCTGCTCCCGCTGCGCCCGCGCCGCCCACGGCGGGCACGGCAAGCGGGCCAACGGTGCCCCTTGCCAAAGCAGCCCCGCTTGTTTTCGCTGCGTTGCCCGCTGCCAGCACCGCGAGGGACCGCGCCGGTGAGTTGGCCGCCCTGCGGCAGGAGCTTGCGCAGTTGCATGCAGACCGTGCGGGCTGGGAAGAGCTGGTCGGCGCGGGGGGCGGGAGGGCGTGGTTAAATCGCGCCTCCGGCGTCGTGCAAACTGTCCAGCCTCCGGAGCTTGCTCAGCATGCGGCACGTGCCGCGTTGCTCCAGGAGCGCGTTCAGGCATGCGAAGCGGAACGCGTCCGCGCATGCGAGGCCGTTGCTGCTGTTGTAGGGACATTCTGTGGCCCTCCGTCGCCACCGCCGCCGCGCGTGTTTGCGCCACCGCAGGTGCCTCCTCTGGCCCAGGCGCCGCTGCTCATGTCGCCAGTGGCCGCGCCCCAGCATGTGTCGTCGCAGCAATTTGCGGCCCCCTCGCAAAACTCGGCGGAGCCTTTGCGCGCGCCGACGATGCCGCGCCCCGCCGGCCCGACCAGCGCGGCGCTTGACCCGCACCAGTTCGCCACTCTCGGGGGCGAGGCTGAGCTCCGCGACGCGGTCTCCGGCTGGCTGTGCAAACTGCGTGAGTTTTTCGGACCGAAGCAGGGCGATGGCCGCGCGCGGCTCACGGCCCTCTTTGCCTCGTGCTGCCATTCGGAGGTCGACCTCCACAACGCCGCCATGGCGATGGGGGTGGCGGTTTTGTCTGGCACGCGCCGTGGAGCGGCGGCGAAACACATCACTGCAGAGCCCCCTTTTGCTGTAGTGACGGGCGACTTCTCGCAGCCTGGCTTAGACATCACGTTTTGCAACTCCTTGCAAGCAAGTTCTGTCCATGCAGGTGCAGAACAGGGGCCAGGGCAAGGTCGTCACGCATGCCACGCGCCCTCTTTTCGAGGCGCACATTGAGGAGCTGCTGCTCTTCTTCGGCCCGGTCACGGAGATCAGGGGCCCCGAGCCGAAGGCCGCGGCGCCGGGGCTGCTCTCGGCCCCAGTGCAGCGCTTCAGTGCACGCGAGCTGCTGCGCCAGCCCCGGTCGGCGTCGGGTGATGGCAGCTAAGGCGACGCCCATTCGCGCCCCCGCTTGCCTCGTCGAGCGGCCCGACACGACTATAACGGACGGAGTCCGGTGTCAATGGGTGCCAAATTCTATTGCGGACGGAGTCTGGCCCATCAGTCAGTCACGCAGCCTCCTCTTGTGCCCCCTCTGGTGTTGCCGTCGCCGGCGGGGGCGGCGTGTCCGCCGCCGGAGGGGATAGCCCTTGCTCTGTCTAGTGCTGCCCTCCTGCTCTTCTCTCTTTCCTTTCCTCGTGGCTCATCTCTTCGAGGGAATTGACGCTTTCTCTTCCCCTCCGGCCCCCAGAAGCCCAGGCGCGCGGTGCCGTGCGCGCCCGCGCGGACACGCGCGTGCTGGCCCGATTTGCAGGCTAGGGCCTACTGCTTTAATTCGTCCTGCATAAAAAGCATCCTCGACGCGACGCTTGGGCAGCGGCGACGCCTTGGCGCGGCGTGCAAGGAAAAAGGCGCCTGGTCGAGCAGTCGCCCCATTGGGCCCGACGCTTGCCTTCATTGTCCTGTGCTGCTTCCGTGCCCCGTCCAGCCTCGCAGTGCTGCCCCTCCGCGCTTGCGGCCCATGCAGCGCATGCTCACATGGTGCAGCTAGGTTGTTCCTTCCATGGTCCTGGTATTGCACACCTGTGACATCATACCTCACTGCGTCGATGCTTTGCGTTTAAGCGCGCAGCCTGCGCGCCCACCCACACGTCCGATGCGTGCCTGTGACATCCCGACGACCCAGCGATCATTGTTGATCAGGGGGTGCGGTGGGGAGCTGTCGACCAGGGCCTCGTCACATGACCCGTCACATGCATGCGCGCGCATACTGGATGCAGACATGTTGGGTCAACCCAGCCTCACAATTTCATGTCCTTCGGTTGCTCCTTCTGGCGCCTCTCTCCAGCACATGGGGGCCAGGGGCCATCTCATGGCACGTCTTCACTACTGTGTGTGTGTGTGTGTTTGTGTGTGTGTGTGTGTGTTTGTGTGTGTGTCCCCGGGTTCCCAAAGCATTGGCCCCCCACGTCACCACCCCCTTCTCCGCTCTGCGTTCGCGCCTACCCCGCAGCCGCTGACGCCCGTTACCCTTGCCCCGCAGTGCTTGACCTCGCTGGTGCCAGCTCGCGCCGGGAGGACGGGGGGGGCATGCCTGCCGGCAGCAGCGACGTCCCGCTGACGGCGCTGCGTGACCTGGTGAACCGCTGGATCGGCGTGGAAACCAAACGCCTGGAGCGGGGGGCGGCGCTCCGTGACGTGCCCGCCATGCTCGCGTGCGCGCCTACACCGCCGCTACAGCTCGCCGTGGAGGGAAATGGTGAGGCTGGGCCTCTGATTGACCTGGGGAGGCAGCTGCGCACCTTTCTGGCCCATGAGCTCCCCCGCCCCTTGCAGCTTGCCGCGCTGAGCCCGGCGCCAGTGATCTCACCGCTCGCAGGGCCTATCCCTGTGGCCGCTGGTCGCGAAGTAGCGACCCCGTCCGACGGCCAGGCCGACCAGCAGCTCTTGCGCATGGCTGTTTTAAATCCGGGCCGGACTGGCCTTCTTGGCCTGGGCACGGACACGCTATTAGATTGGCGCTTGCAGGCGATGGCACAGCTTCTGCACGATGAGGATATCGATATCGATCTGTATCACCCCGGGAGCGTGCTTTCCCCCAGGAGCGGCATTGCCGCCAGGATATCCATATTGCTGGCTTGGCGAACGCTCTGCCTCCTGGGCTGCTGTTGGGATCTTCCTCAAACCTGAATTAGCCCCAGCCGTCCGCCCTCTGCCGGACTTTTCTTCTCCGCGGGTCCAGTGGTTTGAAGTCTGGCCGTCGGCGCGCGTCCCTGCCGAGGTGCCTGGGCCAGCGCTTGTTCTCGCCGCGGTTTACCCTGCGCCGGGGGGCGACGTGGCCTCGTGGAGCGCGATCCTGGACGCGCTTGCCAGGCTGCGGGGCCGTTCCCCGCATGCCTCTCTTCTCGTCGCGGGGGACGCGAACATCCACCTGTCTGACATCCTTATGCACCAGCCTGGCTGCAGCTGCTGCCACTGCCGCCAGTCTCAGGAGGACCGCACCATCGAGGCGATGCTCTCCGCTGCCTGGCTTTTTGCATGCAACCCGCCGGTGCCCACGCATGATTCAGGCACGTGCATCGATCTCGTTCTCGCGGGCCCTGGCCAGGCGGTCTCGGTCACTGTCAAGGAGGCTGTGGCTATGTGCTCTGCCCATCGCTTGCTGTGTTGGTCGCTGGCGTGCCAGTGCGACCGCTCAATGCACGTGGGGTTTGGTCGTGTCAGTTGGCGCGCCGATTCCCAGTGGGATCATGCCCTCGAGGCGGTGGCGCCGCTTCTCCAAGCTGCAGCGTCCTCGGTTGAGCGATGTGTGCATGCGCCGTGGCTCCGCCCCCCGTGGAGCGGGGGCCAGTCTTCTGTGGCCCAGCGACGAGCGCTGCTGGATGTGGCCGCGTGGTCGCGGGACGCGTTATAAACCCTTGTGGGCCACGCGGCGGGGGTCACCCGAGCGGTGTCGGTTGCGGCGTCCCACAAGCGACGCCGGCCTGCTGGGCCGGCTCCAGCGGATTTCTCTGACCACCAGGCGTTTAAGAGGGCAGCTACGCAGGCGGCCTGGGATGCCCGACGGGGTGCGGCCCAACATTTCCCCAACTTCGGGCCTCGAATCCGGGCGCCGCGGAGCGTTATTTGTCTTCTTTCTTTAATGCGCAAGATCGGTTTGAAATCGCTCTCGCTGACCCTGCCACTGGCCAGGCCCTGAGCGCGGACGCCATGCTCCAGACGCGAGGTTGCCGACGCCGCGCGCGACCGACTGGCTCCCCTCCAGATCGGCGTCGCGGTCCCTGGCGGCACCGAGGCGGCGGTGCACGTCGCGCGCCAGTGGTGGACCCGCCACCTCGGGGACCGGGGAAAGGTGTTTGTGAAGCTGGACTTGTCCAACGCCTTCAACACCCTGGACAGGCAGGCTCTGCTCCGCGCGGTCCACGAAGAGTTTCCCGGGCTGGCACCCTGGGCCGACTGGTGCTACTCCCGCCCGTCAACTCTCTTCCTGGGCAAACAGACAGTCCGCTCCGAGTGCGGGGTGCAGCAGGGCGACCCCCTGGGGCCCCTACTGTTCTCCCTAGCACTACAGCGCGCCGCCGAGGCCGCCCTTCGCGCGCCGCGCCACGGCGCCGACGGCGCCGTCGACCTGAGTTTCTTCTACTTGGACGACGGCTGCCTCGCGGGCGACGCGCCGGCCGTCGCGCGCCTCCTCCACTTGCTCGTGGCCAGCCTTGCCGCGGTGGGCCTCCAGCTGAGCACCGGCCCGGGCAAGTGTGAGGTGGTCCCCACTGGCGGAGACGCCTCCGACGTGTCTCTGGACGGCTTCCCGCCGGGCTTCCGCCTCCGCACCGATCGCAGCTTCGAGCTGCTCGGCGCGCCAGTGGGAGACGCGGACTTCTGCGCGGAGCACACCAAGCAGCGGGTCGCGAGCGCCACCGACTTGCTGGAAGCTCTGGGGGAGCTCGAAAACGCGCAGGTCGCGCTGCACCTCCTGCGCCAGTGCGCCTCCTTCTGCAAGCTGGGCTACTCCGCGCGCGTGGTGCCGCCCACCGCGCACGCCGCCTCCCTGCTGGCCATGGACGACGCTGTCCGGGCCTGCCTTGAGCAACTGAGCGGCTGCTCGCCCTCCGACGCTTCTTGGCAGCAGGCTCAGCTTAAGCTCAGGAGGGGAGGACTTGGCCTGCGCTCTGCCGCGAAGCACGCCGCCGCCGCCTACATCGCTTCCAGAGCGAAGAGCACCGACCTCTGTCGGCAGCTCTACCCCGGCTACTCCAACAACCCCGACCGCGACGGAGGTAGCCTGGCGGCTGCGGTGCAGGCCCACAACGCAGTCGTGCGGGACGCCGACCGGGTGGTGTTCGACCACGCGCAGCACGGCAACCAGAAGGCCCTCTCCGACGCGGTGGACAGCGCCTCGCTCGACGGACTTCTGGCGGGCTCTACCCTGGCCGGCAAGGCGCACCTCTCTCTGGTGCAAGCCCCAGGCGCGGCCGCGTGGCTCCAGGCGCCGCCCTGCGAGGCCACCGGCACCGCCTTCCCGCACGGCCTCATGCAGGTCGGCCTGCAGAGGCGGCTGCGAGTCCAGCTCCTGCAGGAGGAGTGCTTCTGCCCAGCCTGTGGCGAGGTGATGGACGTTTTCTGCGACCACGCCCTGGTCTGCGCCTGCCGCGGCGACCGGACCAAACGCCACAACGCCCTGCGCAACCAGGCCTTCTTCGACGCCCTGGCCGCCGGCCACGCCGGGGCGGAGTTGGAGCGCCCGGGGCTGCTACCCGCGCGCCCCGCCGGGGAGGCCACCCCCGGGGGCGAGCAGGGCGGGTCCCAGGTGGGCGACAACGGCCGCCGCCCTGCCGACGTCTACCTGCCGCGGTGGCGCAGCGGCACGGCGGCCGCCTGGGACTTTGCCGCCGCGTCAGGGTTGCGCGCCGATCTCCTCGCCGCGTCGGCCGCTTCGTCAAGCGCAGCGACGGAGCGGTACGAGGAGTTCAAAAGGCAGCACCAGGACACCGCGCGGCTCTGCGCGGCACAGGGCTTCACTTTCCTCCCCATGGTGGTGGAAGCCCACGGCGGCGGGTGGGGCCGCGAGGCACGCAGGGCCTTCGGGGTCCTGGCCAAGCGGGTGGCTGACGCCACGGGGGAAGACGCCGCACTGGTTGCGGACCAACATGCCCAGCGACTTTCCGTCTCCCTGCACAGGGAGAACGCGCGGGCGGTGTTGCGGCGCCTTCAGACCCTGTCTGGAGGGGCGGGGGTGGCAGCGGCCCGCCTGGCCGCGGCCACGGCGGCCTCCACGGCAGACGCCGTGTGAGGTGCCCCCTGCGCTGCCTAGCGCCCCCCGCCCCCCCCCCCCCGCCCTTGCTGGGCAGCGCGGGCGCCCCCCTCGCCCTTTCGCCAACGTCGCGCCGGCGACCCCTCCCACGCGCCGCCCGGCCTTTCCCCGGCGGGGCGGTGGATGGATCCCGCAGA